CTCCTCCTCCTCCTCCTCCTCCTCTCCACATCTCTTCCTCCCTCCTATCACTGAATATGTTACCTAGTTGGGTCAGGAAACGTCTGCAAGAAAACAGCCAAAGTCAGAGCTCACCAAGGACCCCAGAGGAGTTGTCCTCCTCCTCCTCCTCCTCCTCCTCCTCCTCCTCCTCCTCCTCCTCCTCCTCCTCCTCCTCCTCTCCACAGGTCTCCTTCCCTTCTAGCACTGATTGTGTTACCTAGTTGGGTCAGGAAACGTCTGCAAGAAAACAGCCAAAGTCAGAACGCACCAAGGACTGCAAAGGAGTTCTCCTCCTCCTCCTCCTCCTCCTCCTCCTCCTCCTCCTCCTCTCCACGTGTCTCCCTCCCTTCTAGCACTGATTATGTTACCTAGTTGAGTCAGGAAATGTCTGCAAGAAAACTATCAAGTTCAGAAAGCAACAATCCCCCGCTTCCTCCACTCCACAAACCCCATTCCCTTCTAGCACTGATTGCATCACCTAGTTGGGCCACGAAACGTCTACAAGAAAACAATCCAGCTCAGAGAGCACCAAAGCCGCCACCCCCCCGCAAGTAAATTTAAGTTCAGGTTTTCAGTTGAGGCTCTGGGTTTGGGCCCTGCTCAAATGCACCAGAACGGGCATTTGGGGTGATTTGGGCCTCTCGTTGAGGTTGGCGTTACCAACACCCATCCACCACCCACCTGATGGATTGCAAAGACCAGTCATTGTGCAGGGTGCCAAGAGGTCTGACGGCCTGGCAAGTGTTTATTACATTTATAGGGTTTTTACAAGAAGACAAAGGCAGCATAGATACAGCATCTGGATCGGAGAATAGATCCCACGTGGGTGAAACCCGCCAACCACATTGGCACAACTTCCCAACCAATCCTTAAGGCTAGTTAGTAAAATGAGATCGCCTATAAGTCTGGGACTTTCCACCTTCACCAAGATATAGGGAATGAGGTCATGCCAATAGCCAAGAGGCCCCATATCGGTTCTAGGATGCTGCGGTGTGCCACTAGCATCACCTACAGGATCTCAACTGCCACTACAGCCGCCCCCCTTTTTGCCCGTCTCTACAGTTCATGGAAGAGCTGGCCGATGCCCTCCAGTACTGCCACAATAAGAAAGTGATCCATCGCGACATCAAGCCTGAGAATCTGCTGATGGGCTTAAAAGGGGAGCTGAAGATTGCCGACTTTGGCTGGTCGGTCCATGCCCCCTCGCTCAGGTGGGTCGGTCGCAGGGGTGGGCCTCAAAAGCTTCGGCCGCGGGGTTCTCTGCCCGGTTGATGGGTGGGCGTGGCCTACCGGAATGTCCGGGAGGCCCGTTTCTCGCCTTCCCCAGGCTCCGGAGGCTTTCCTCAAGCTTCTGGGAGGGCGAAAACTGCTTCCCTCGGGTTCCGGAGGCCGGAAACTGGCTCGTTTGCGGAACTTCTGGGAGGCCCGTTTTTCCTTCCTCCCGAAGCCTCTGTGTGGGCCCTGCACTTACCTGGTATCCAAAACAGGCCACGCGGAGACTGTGGGGAGGAGAGGGGTTGGAGGGGCGGGGCAGGGTGTCTGGGGCCTGCCAGGGGTGGGATTTGGCGGTTCGTTGAATCAGCCATAACGTTAGCAACGGGTCTGCCCGAATGTTCTGCCCAGGGCTTCTTGAGACTGCAATTAATCACACATGCTCAGTCCAAACAACCCTCTTTTTTATTTCAACGCTGGGAATTACGTGCATTCCCAGCCTGCAATGAGTCCCAAACAGTCCCTCGAGATAAGCACCCGCCTTTCTCTCCTTTGAATTGCTGCCAACAACTAAAGTGCCAAATTAACTATAAAAAGCCAAACGGACTACAATGTCCACACGGAGAGTTTAAAACCGATCAGAGTGAACAAAGTTGCTTCCTGCAAAGGCTCGTGTCCCTTTGCTCCTCGTTTATGTCATATGGGAGGGCCAATCACTTCCAAGACTTACTCTCAAGTCGCCCCTTTTATCTTAGCTGCTGACTTTGGGGTGGGTATCTTGGGTGATTTGGAGCATTGCAAAGCTTCCTTCCCGGCTTTTCTTGGGGTCGCCATCTTCTGTTTTTTTGTTTTTGTTTTGCAAATTGCTCCTCAAGGAGGAAGACCATGTGCGGCACTCTGGATTACCTGGCCCCGGAGATGATCGAAGGCAAAGCCCACAACGAGAAAGTGGACCTCTGGTGCATTGGGATCCTGTGCTACGAGTTCTTGGTGGGGAATCCGCCCTTCGAGAGCGAGAGCCACACCGAGACCTATCAGCGGATCGTGTCGGTGAGCCTAGCCAGGACGAACAGAAGGCCTTCTGGCCGAGATTAAGTATATAATTCCAGACCCCAGGTCAACGGAGATTCCTCGCCCCCCCCCCCAGGTGATGGGTGTTGTCCCAAAGGTGCTGTATTTTTTTTTGAGAAGCAACTGGGCTTCCTTGGGTTTTGGTTTTGAAGGCGTTTCGCTTCTCAATCCCAGAAATTTCTTCAGCTGTGACTGAAAGGTGGGGAACGGAAGGGTGTAATTATACTTCTTGCAGGCAGTTGGTCATTTGCATCCTTTTAGAGCAGGGATGTCAAACTCGATTTCATTGAGGGACACCATCGGGGTTGTGTTTGACCTTGAGGGGGGGGGCATGGCCAGCTCACTGTCACTCGTTTTGGGGTGGGGTCACCTGTGGAGGCCAAGTGCTAAGGCAGGACTTCCTTTAGACCCTCCCTCTCATTATAACCCTTCTTTAATTTTCTTTAATCCCTTCCTTCTCTTTCTCAATTCCTCCTTCCTTCCTCAATCCCTTCCTCCTTCTCTTTCTCAATTCATCCTTCCTTCCTCAATCCCCTTTTTCCTTCCTTTGTCCCTCCCTTCTCAATCTCCTTCCTTCCCTTCCTTCCTTCCTTTGTTTCTCCCTTCCTTCCTTCCTTCCTTCCTTCCTTCCTTCCTTCCTTCCTTCCTTCCTTCCTTCCTTCCTTCCTTCCTTACTTCCTTCCTTCCTGAGCCGCAGTGGTGCAGTAGTTAAGAGTGCAGTACTGCCGGCTGCCTGCAATTTGATCAGCTCCAGGTTGACTCAGCCTTCCGCCCTTTTGAGGTGGGTAAAATGAGGACCCAGATTGTTGGCGGGCAAGAGGCTGACTCTGTTAACCGCTTAGAGAGGGCTGCAAGAGCACTGTGAAGCGGTATATAAGTGCTATTGCCATTCCTTCCTTCTCTTCTTCTTTCCTTCCCTCTTCTCTCTCCTTCCTTCCCCTCTTTCCTTATTTTTCCTCCCTTGCTCTCTTTCCATCTGTTCTTCTTTTTCTTCGCCTTTCCTTTCATGTCTCTTTGCATGCTTGAATGCAAGAAGAGAAACATTTCTCATTTTGTTTTGCTAGTCCTCTGCCAGCAAAAATGGAGTCCGGGGGAGACGGGATGCGTGGCCCTCCTGAGCTCGGTTTTTGCTGGCCGAGGCAACACGGGTTGGTCCTTTGGGTTTTTCCAGGGCAGCCCCACAGGCCGGATCTAAGCACCCAGGGGGCCAGATAGGGCCCGTGGGCCTTGAGTTTGACACCCTTGTTTTAGAGAGTTGTTGAGGCCACTTGGAGGTTTGTCTGTGGGGATGAGATGTCTGCACCTGGGTTCAACAGTGAAATGACACAGGGTAGGAAACACCCTGCAGAAAGCACAGCTCCACAACCCAGCTCCTTTCAGCAGCTCCAAGACTTCACACCCCTCGGGTGACCCTGAGGACACAGATAAACCTCCAAGCGGCCTCAACGACCCTCTAAAAGGATGCAATGACCAATTATCTGCAAGGAGCGTAAATCCTTCCATTCCCCTCCATCCAGTCAGAGCTAAAGAAGCTTCTGGGATGAGAAGTGAAACATCTTCAAAGAAAAAACCCAGACAGTCCAGTTGCCTCTTGAAAAAGCACTTTTGGGACATTCGAGGCAAGGCTTTCCTGCCCGAGGTAGGATTGGAATTCATGGCCTCTTGGTTTCTTAAGCCTATCTATCTTTCCCATCGCACCAAACAGGCTCTCTTTAAATGTATTTGCATGTTGCATATATACATACATACATCCAGTGATCCCCATTTTTCAACTTCTGACCAGCAAAAGCCACATTCACTTAACGCCCCTGTTGCTTGCTCAACCTCTCAAGAGAGATTCAACCTGGAAATAAGGAGAAAACTTTCTGACAGTGAGAACAATCAACCCATGGAACAGAAGTTGCCCTCAGAAGTTGTGGGAGCGCCATCACTTGAGACTTTCAAGAAGAGACTGGACTGCCATTTGTCAGAAATGGTGTAGGGTCTCCTGCTTGGGCGGGGGGTTGGACTAGATGACCTACAAGGTCCCCTCCAACTCTGTACATCTGTTATCTGTGGGGATTTGCTTAACAACGATGGCAGGAAAGGTTGTAAAATGGCAAAAAACTCACTTCATGAATGTCTCGCTTAGCAACAGAAATTGTGGTCATACGTTAAGGTTTACCTGTACACTCAGTGAAGAAACCTATGATCAGATAACCCAGTTTTCTGCGCTTGAACCAGCCACGATGTCTGGGATTGTGGTCTAGTCACCTGCTGGGCCAAGGGTTGGCAACTTTAAAGTCTCAGACAGCCATTTGGATCCATTTCCCACAGAAAAGAAAACCACCAGGACCCACAAAACCTACCAGGGGTTGAAAAGCTCAATAAATAGTGTGCTGGCTGGTGTTGCACATTGGTGGTTGTGACACATATTTTGAGCTAACAAGGGAGCCTCAGCAGACAGATGAGAAAAGTCACATGCGGCTCCGGAGCCACAGGTTGCCGACCCCTGTGCTAGGCTAAAATAAGTTTTGCAAGTGTTTGCTAACTTCTCCATGTCTCCCTGGTGTGTTTGTGTGCTCAACTTGGCTCCATTTCCTTTCCTAACAGGTGGATCTCAGGTTCCCCCCCTTTGTGACAGAAGGCGCTCGGGATTTGATTGCGAAGCTGCTGCGTCACAACCCATCCGAGCGTCTCCCGCTACGAGCCGTAATGGATCACCCTTGGGTGAAAGCCCACTCCAAGCGGGTGCTACCACCGGTCTTCAACCCGGAATCCCCGAACTAACGTTGGATACCCGGCTGAATGATGTCCCCAATATAGGGGGGCTGCTATGTTTTTGTTTTGTGGTTTTTGCTTGCTATCTCGAGGTTTTGGGGAGGGACATCTTTTCTGGATTGGAAACATCCTTGCACCCCAAGATTCGTTCTTGAAGAGCTGATACAGACAGAAATCTTGTTTCGGAGAGCTTGGAAAATAATGTGGGTGGCCACCGTCACCTGGACAGGCAGCTATGTCTAGATATAGAAATCCCCTTTGATGTTTTGATCTTGGCTGACCTTCTCCGTTGGGGTCGTCCCGGATCTGTCACTGTGTGCAACTTCTTGCAAACCTGTTTTTTTCCAAGGAATAAGCCTATTATTTCCCAAAACGGTATGCCCCATCTTAATATATAGAGAACTGTTAGTAATTGTAATAAAACTTATTTCAGACCTGACAAATCAGACCTTTTTTTAAATTGGTTTTTCTCCTAATATCTGCATATCTGGAAGTTGTGCTGATATTCCAAGAACAGTGAAAATGGAAAAAGCTGGATTGGCATTGGGGCTTGGCATAATGTTTCAATTAACCGTTGAAAGGGATAAAACAAGAAATGGGGATTACAAATAGTTCTACAATTACACACACACACACACACACACACACACACACACACACACACACAGTGTCTTCTTTTTCTTTTATCTGTGTTAATCTGTCCATTTCTGCACAGTCCAATATTTTTAAAATTATATCTTCTTTAGGTGTTTCCTCTCTTTTCCAATGTTGTGCAAAATACAATTCTTGCCGCTGTTAAAACATGTGATATCAAATATACATTCCCTTTTGTTATATTTTTCTGGTATTATGCCTAACAAAAAATAGCTCTGGCTTAAAATCTATATGTGGTCTTCACATTTTTTTTAACTGCATATGCCTTTTCGCCCAATTTTTTTTTGCTTTTGGGCAGGTTCACCACAGATGGCAATATGTGCCCGGTTTTTTGATTACATTTCCAACATTTGGTGGACATATATTTTTAAAGAAATAGCTAATCTCACCGGTAGTAAGTGCCACCTATAAAACATTTAATACAAATGTTCTTTATAAGTGGTTGCCATCGTCAATTTATAGTTTCTTTCCCAGAGTCTTTGCCAGTTATCTAGTTCTATGTTATATCCATAAAAAATTGCCCATACTATCATTGGAATTACAGGCATTTCTTTAGACACTGTTCGAAGTTACAACACTACAGTAAAATATCGTAGTCTTCTATTTACAATCTTTCGTTTAGTAACTCTTGAAAGTTACAATGGCACTGGAAAAAAGTGACTTTATGACAATTTTTCACAGAATGGTTGCAGCATCCTAACTTTTGCTTTTTTGCAACCTGGCATCTCTGTGCCGTTGACTCCAACCTTCCCATAAAGCTGACTGGGGATGATGGGGTGTGAAGTCCCTCAGGTGTCAACTAGGCATTGCACGTCCTTCAATCCTGCTTAGCTTGGGACTTAGGTTTCGTCGAATTTTAGTTGGGACTAAACTCCCAACCGGCTGGTCTCCCAAACCAGGATAGCTGGTTTGTGCGAAGCCAGGCCAACCCCGTTTATTCCAGTCAGGTGGATCAAAATGCCCTAATTTGGGGTCTTCAAAGTTATGACTTCAAGTGTGATGCAGTGGTTTAGAGAGAGCTCTTCCGTTACAATTGGGGCTGTGAGTTTGATCCTAGGTAGAGGCAGACATTTCTCCCTGGGCCAAAGTTGAGAATATACCATGTTTTGGGGACTATAAGATACACAGGACCTTATTTTATGCCATATACACACACCTAATCCTTACATATATCTGTATATCACTACTATGGATCTATCCTATCCTCTTGTCTTTTAGTGTGAAGTCTATCTTTGGTCTATCCATTTGTACCAGCAGTTCCAGCTGTTGTAGTATATTGAAGTGTCTTTATTTTTTAATGCCAAAGTTAATTTGTCCATTTCTGCACAACTTGAAATTTTTTGAATGATCATGTCCTCTGATGGAACATGAGGCTGCTTCCAACATTGTGCAAAAACCAATCTGGCCGCTGTCAAAATGTGTATTATTATATATTTCACATTTTTTGATATTTGTTTATCAAAGATTCCTAACAGAAAGAACTCTGGTTTGAATTCGATCTGTTCTCTTGTCATTTCTTCCAGCCAATTTCTAATTTTCTGCCAATATTTTTGAGCTTCTGTACACGACCACCACGTATGGAAAAAAGTTCCCTCATTTTTTTTGCATTTCCAGCAATTCGGACTCATATTGGGGTGCATCTTCGCTAATCCCGAAGGTGGAAGGTGCCACCTGTAAAACACTTTATAGGCATTTTTTTTGTATGCTACAGATTTTGTAATTTTATTATTTCTACCCCAGACCTTTTCCCATTCTGTTACGGTGATGCTACGTCCTATATTCCTACTCCAGGCTATCATGTTCCCTTTTACAATTTCTTCTTCTAATTCTACTTCTAATAAATAATTATAAAATTTTGTTATATTTTTTTTGCCTGATCCTAATAAAATTTTATCTAATTGCTGGAGTTTATTGTTAATTCCAAATTCTTTCTTGTCCTGTTTATGTGTATTTTGAATTTGAAGATATGTCCACTGATCAATTTTTAGTCCCCGCTCTTAAAGTTCTTGCCACGATTTCAAATTTCCTTGCGTGTCCAATAGGTCCTTATATTTAATCATTTTAGTGATATCCAGATTATTTGGATGAATCATCGCCTCCATTGTTGAAATCCAAATTGGTATTTTTAAATAGTGTTTTTTCCGTATTTTCTTCCAATTAGTTAATAATGAGTCTCTGATTAGGTGTCCGTGAAAATATTTCTGGCTAGTTTTCCCTACATCCCATAAAAAAGCATGCCACCCCCTCTGCAAGTCATGGCCTTCTAAGAATAATATTCTCTTATTGGTTAAATTCACCCATTCCTTCAACCATACTAAAGAGGCTACACGAAATACAACTCCCAATTTGGAAGTGCCTGCCCTCCGCTGCTCTTCATATCCTGCATTGCCTTTAAATTTATTCTAGGTTTTTTCCCTTGCCAGATAAATTTTACAGTTATTTTATTCTTCAAAAAAAAATCGTGATTGGGATCATCTGAAATATATATAGGAATTTTGGAAGAATATTCATTTTAATAGCAGTAATCCTGCCTAATAATGAAAGTTGCAGCTTGCCCCATGTTTCTAAATCCTTCTTTACCTGTTGCATCAATTTATCATAATTATTTTCCTTGTCTTACAATGTGCTGTCAACCATATTCCTAAGTATTTAACTTTCTTTATCACTTGTATTCCCATAACTTCTAGTTCTATTTTCTGTTTTTCTGTTAAATTTTTAGTCCTTAATTTTGTTTTCTTCCTATTAATTTTAAGTCCTGCTCCTGCTCCAAATTGTCCTAATTCATTCATTAATTTTGGTCCTCTTTCTATTGGTTCTTCAATGAAAAAAATCATATCATCCGCAAAGATTTCACCGAAATCTTCAATAGATCACTAGAGATGTGCTATGTTCCTTCTTCAATATCATCTCAGTGCCAAAGAAGCCCTCCATCAAGGAATTGAATGACTACAGATCAATTGCTCTATCATCTGTAGTTATGAAAACCTTTGAAAGGCTAGTGCTGTCCCACCTGAAAACCATCACGGATCCACTGTTAGATCCCATGCAGTTTGCATACCGAGCAAATAGATCGACAGATGATGCTGTTAATATGGCTCTGCACTACATCCTACAACACCTTGAATCTCTGAATATCTACGCAAGGGTCCTCTTTGTAGATTTCAGTTCAGCATTCAATTCCATCATTCCAGATACTCTTCTAAGTAAACTAAACCAACTAGCGGTACCTGAACACTTTAAGTGGATCATAAGCTTCCTAACAGACAGGAAGTGGCAGGTGAAGCTAGGCAGAACCATATCTGATACCTGTACAATTAGCACAGGGCTGCCCCAAGGCAGTGTGCTTTCTCCACTTCTCCCTATATACCAATGATTACATCTCAAAAGATCCATCTGTTAAAATACTGAAGTTTACAGATGACACAACAGTGATTGGTCTCATTCGAGACAACGACGAATCCGCATACAGACAGGAGGTTGTACAACTTGCCTCTTGGTGTAACCGGAACAATCTGGAATTGAATACACTCAAAACCATAGAAATGGTGGTAGACTTTAGGAGAAATCCTCCCATACTACCACCTCTTATGATACTAGACAGCACAGTATCAACAGTAGAGACCTTCAAAATTTCTAGGTTCTACTATATCACAAGGCCTAAAATGGACACCTAACATCAAAAACGTCATCAAAAAAGCACAACAAAGAATGTTCTTTCTGCGCCAACTCAGAAAGCTCAAACCGCCCAAGGAGTTGCTGATCCAGTTCTACAGAGGAATGATTGAGTCTGTCATCTGCACCTCTATAACTGCCTGGTTTGGTTCTGCAACCCAACAGGACAGACCAGAGCATAATTAGGACTGCAGAAAAAAACTACCCACCTGTCTTCAATTGAGCACCTGTTATACTGCATGAGTGAAAAAGAGGGCTGTGAAAATATTTACAGACCCCTCACATCCCAGACATAAACTGTTTCAACTCCTACCCTCAAAACGATGCTACAGAGCACTGCACATCAGAACAACGAGACACAAGGACAGTTTTTCCCCCAAAGCCATCACTCTGCTAAACAAATAATTCCCTTGAAAGGACATTTTGACATGAATCAATCTAACCTCTGGTCTTTGCATCTGTTAGAGAATTTGCTTGTACAATTTGGTGAGGATGGGAATCATTTGTTCGGAATTCATTCTGTAAGAGAATTGTATCCTTTTCTATCTGGTTTCTCGCCTCTGCAATTTGCTTCAGAGCTAGACACATCCTTGGAGACGATTCCCATGAACATCCTGCTCCATAGATGGGGGTGAGGGAGTGAGAAGGAGCTATCCAGGAGTATGAACCCACAAGGACAAGGGATGCTGTGTAAAATAACAAAGTATGGACTGAGCACGGACAAACAACGCTCCATGGATAAAGAAGGGCAGAGCACGGGCAAGACATTGCCCACATTAATAACAAACCTTTGTCTCTGATTGGATAAACTTAGTTTCTATCAACGTAAAATGTATATAATACTCTGAGCCACTCTCACAGTGTGTGGCTATTCCTTACATGCATTTTGTCTGTATGTTTTGGACATAGTACTCACCCAGACTTTTTGCTTTGGCCAAAGAATAAAAAAGTTATTTTTGCAAGCCGCCTCTTTGGCATTTCCGTGGCTTGGGGAAACTTCTGGGACCTTGCACCCTCAACATTGTCCAACTTTACAAAATCTGCACTACTATTACTGGTTAATCTTCTCATCACTCCTAATCACCAACTCCTCCCCCTTGTGACGGTATGACTGTAACTTTGTCGCTTGTATCCTTACGATTTATATTGACTGTTTCCTAGTATGATTTGATTGCTTATTGCACCCTATGACTATTATTAAGGTTTTGACCTTATGATTCTTGACTCTTGACGAATGTATCTTTTCTTTTATGTGCACTGAGAGTATTTGCACCAAGGCAAATTCCTTGTGTGTCCAACCACACTTGGCCAATAAAGAATCCTATCCTATCCTATCCTATCCTATCCTATCCTATCCTATCCTATCCTATCCTATTGTTGAAAGGCTGAAAAATGCCTTTCTTCTGAGGGCTCGATTTTCCTGCTGGGAGAACTCCGGTGCAAGGACACAGACAATTGCTTGGAAGCTGGTTCCTTTTATTTTTCAGGAAGGCAAGAGATAGCAAGAAGTCTGCATTCCTGGGGCTAGCCATCTTTGTATAATAAATCCCTGATTTTTATACCTTTTCTCCTTTTGTGTGTGTGTGCTTGTGTTTGCATTTCTTAATGTTTTAAATCCTGTCAGGGGTTGTCTTCATTTCCGCCAGAGGGTAAACTCTGCGGGGTGGTTTGATTGGATTATCAGTTTCATCCTAATGTTTTCTTATATTTGTTTTGTGGCAATCTCCTGTCTGTCTCCTTTGCAATATATTTTGTGTCTATTTGTTTTGCTGATTTGGCATGACCTGTTGTTTGTAAGAGATTTCTTTTTCTTGTTTCCCTAGCTTTCTTAATTACTTGGCTTTTGTCTAGGGGGCTTCTTTCAATACCTTTTATTAAATCTCTTTTCCTATGCAAGTTTGTTTTATGGCTGGCCTGATGTTCCCTTTGGGCTTTTCCTGCTTGGGTGTCACCACTGTCCTCATGAAGTTCCCTTTCCACACTATCCTATCAAGTTTAGAGAAGAAAAACAAGAAAAAAAAATAGTTTTAGGCCTCTGTACATCCCATTTCGGCCTCCCTGTCTCCCAGAAGCACTCTGCAGACCAAAAAAACAATTCATTTTTGCCTCCCAAACCCCCTGTGCGTCCTGTTTTCAGCCTCCCCAATGTCAGGGAGGAAAAACTGGGATCCACAGAGGCCTCTGGAGGACCGGTTTTGGCCTGCAGAGTGCTTCTGGACGCTGGGGAGGGCAAAAACAGGATGTGCGGAGGGTTTGGGAGGCCAAAAACAGGCCATATTTGCTCTATAAGATGCACATTTTCACCACTTTTGGGGGGGGAGAAGTGCATTTTATAGTCCAGAATCTGTTGAATGTAACTCCGTACTGGCGATAGGAAGGGCATCGGCCAGTAAAACACTAAGCTCCATTCAGTTGCACAAGATTCCACCCCACAAGGGCTTATGGAGGGGTCGTTCAAAGAAGATGAAAGCTATGACTTCAAAACCTCACATTTGAATGTTTGTTTGTTTTCACTTGCGGGTGGTGTTGGTGTTGCTGATATCGTGTTTTGAAACGATTTTTATTGAAATGTTAGAGGTTTTTTCTTCCCTTCTCCTTCACCAGCTTGGGTGAAAAGGAAGCCGACCAAGATGGCGGACTCCTTCTCCCTCTCTCCTCCCCCCCCGCCCCTCTCTGAAATGCCCGGATGTGACAGCTCGGCCGCCATTTTGTTGCCTCTGCCGAAGCGAGCAGCTTCATTCGGGGAGCGCGAGCCTCGCAGCCGCCGCCGCCACCACTGACCACCCGACCGACCGCCACAGCCAGCGTCCTCCGCGATGTAAGTAGCACTCAATGCAACGCGGGCACCGGCGTGCAATGCTCCTCTTTTTGCATTAAAACAGGTGCACGCGAGAAAGCGGGGTTTTGGTTTTTTTCTCCTCGGCCGCCCACGCCTCGGATGCTGCCTGCGGTAATGGAAGGGGGGGCGTCGCGTGTTTTTATTTTTATTCTTCCCCCGGGTGGGGAAGGGTCATTGCAAGGAGATGGGCGGCTTGCATTGGTTTTGGTGCATAGGAAACCGACTCTCCCTCCCACGCATTTTTTTTCTTTTCTTTTTCTTGGCCTGGGGGGCAAATCTGCCCCTCTTTTGGTGAAGGGCGTGAATAGGGAGAGGGCTAGGGAAAGAGAAAATACATAAAGCAACCTTTCTGCCTTTAAAAAAAATATTATTTTGCTGCAATTGATGCTTCCTTCTTGGTATCTTCTCCCCCAGACCCATCCAATAGTCTAGGGTGCTCTGATGAAAAGACGGGGGCTTTCAAATCTAGGGGGGGCTGCTGCCTTTCAGACGCCCCCTCCCCAAATAAAAAAGGGGGGAAGACTTGGCTCTAAGCGCTCTCTCTCCCCCACCACCTTATGGCACGTACCTCGTGTGCCCCAATGAATGAAAGTCTCCTTTTTTAAAACCTCCTTCCCCCTAAAAAATCTCGAAAACGGGAGACGACCCTCTCCAACGCCTGCGCCCCCCCCCCGCCTGTGGTGAAGGAAAGAAAAGGAGAAAAAAAATATATTAATAAGTAAATATTGTATTTACTTTTTCCCCCCCTCCCTCTTATTTAATTCCTTTCCGAGGAATAAATGAGGTCATCTTTGCACGCTTCTCTTTCCCTTTTGCAAACGTGCAGAAGGGACGGTGGGTGGGTGGGTGGCGGTGCTGCCTTTGAATGCAACGTTTCTTTTTGCCTTTTAAGATTTTTTACAGCCCCCTCCCCCATTAATCTAGGGTGGAGATGGAGCCGTGCATTTGAATTGCATCCCTCCCATTTTAATGCACACATGTCTGTCTGTCTATCTATCTATCTATCTATCTATCTATCTATCTATCTATCTATCTATCTATCTATCTATATCTATCATGTATCCATCCTTCCATCTGCATTGTACGTATGTATTCATTGTATGTATGTATGTGTATGTATGTATGTATAGTCTGGCTCTCTCTGTGCAAATTAACGGGGGGAGGGGCTCATTGGGACCTACTGAGCCCCCCCCCTCCAAAAATAAAAAAGGGTATAGAAGGATCCAAAACAGAAGGGGAAAAATAAATAAAAGCATTTTGGAAAAGAGAGCCCTTCCCCGCCCTGTTTTGCATACAGGTGGTGGGAGGTGTTATTGACAAAAATAAAAATTAAAGGGGCTGTAAAAATAAACACCTCTTTTTTTCCCCACCTGAGAATTGCAAATAGTGAAAATTTGGGCGGGTGGGAAGAGGGTTTGCAATAAAACGCCTCTTTTGCAAGCTGTCTGACCGAACAAAAGGTTTGAAAGGAAAGGATGGGGCACCAAGAGGTAGTGATATTTTTGAGAGGGAGGGGTGCCGCCTCTTGAAAAGACAGGTGCATCCACTCTTCTTCCCTGTTTGAGTATTTTTAGATTTTGCAAAGACAAGCTGGGCAGATGGAGAATGCTAAAAATATTTTTTTAAAAACCCTGTTTTTTTTTCCCCAGGCTGTGACGCTTCTATGGTTTTCTGTGTAACTTTTGGGGTTGTTGCGGTATTTTATTTTGTCCTGGATTTGGGGTGGGTGGATGAAGAGGGTAAGAAACACTCTGATTTGGCTTCCCGATCCCCCAGGCTAGGTGGGTGCATGGTAGGGAAAAACTCCCAGTGGGCTCTAGGAAAGTTACAAAAATAAAATAATAAAAAATAAAAATGGAATGCAAAGGGGTGAAGATGCATTGATGGTTGGTGGTTGGGGGAGTGGAATATGGATAGAGGGGTGGTGTACATAAAAGGAATAGGGTGTGTGTGGCAGCTGTCCAAAATGCAGAGGGGAGAGATTTCAGGGTGATTGGATGAGGCTTGCTTTTTAGCTGGGAATAACAAGATTTTAATACCTGGATGGCACCGAATTGGCAATTGGAATGGAGGTGGGAAATGTTATATTTTATTGTTGTCCTTCAAACTTGGCCATTTTAAGATGGGTGGACTTCAACTCCCAGAATTCCCCAGCCAGCAATGTCTAAAGATGCTCCTGGGATCGTACAGAATGCCGCTGTGTGTGTGTTGTTTTCGGAGAATCTGGTGGAAAAAAGAAAAGAAAAAAGCCACAGGTCTCCTGGGAAATATATACGAAATGCCTATTCCGCAACTGCAGTTGAGGGAAATGCAAGTCTGACATCAATGATTTATTATCTGGTGGGATTTAGGGCCTCAATCTCTTAAAGTTTCATGATAAACCTATTATTATTATTATTATTATTATTATTATTATTATTATTATTATTATTATTATTATTATTAT